GAAATAAAAATGCCTAATCATAAGTTAATTTATTACATATGTGTTATTCACATTATTTTTAACATTTGTAGTAAATATCATTACTCATGTAATTTAATCTATTGTTATCTATATATATATATATATATATTTATTTTTTCAAATATTTCAGAATATAGATACATACTACTTAAGTTTAATTTGCAAAGACTTTAATAAATTATTAATTTATTTATATATATATATATATATATATATATATATATATATAGTTTTTTAAAGCCCAATCGTCGAATTAAAAGAATGTTAACAAGACAAATTCTTTATTAATTAAACGTTTCAAAAATTGAGGTGTGCCATCAATCAAACCAGGAAAAACACAAAAACATAAAATTCATTAAAAACACTAAAATTGTGCTAAAGAACAACATAATTCATAGATAATAAAAAGGAAAAATTGAGGAGCAACATAATGCCCCAATTTGAAGCATATTCATTCAACGACGTATAGAATTAAAAAAAATGATTTTTTATGAGCTTTTCAGTGAAAGCTAGAGCTTCGGTGGAATTATAACTATTTTTCGGTTATTGTAGTTAATTTTAACTAACTGTTCATTCAAACTTCGGAACCGTAAACGTGAATAACATTTCTAGGACCACAATCAAAAACATTAACACAATTAAGATTTTTATTTAACCATGTTGCTAACTAATGTTTTTTAAATTGATCGACTTTGAGATGCCATCTTTTAAAAAAAAGTGTGCTAGTAAGTTTAATCAAAAGTTGACGAATTTAATCAGGATTGTAAAATGGTAAAATATTAGGAAATTTTATTATTGAAAAATTTCGAGTAAAACATAAAAACCTAAAACTGACATGATTTTTGCTAGTACATTTTACACACAATTAGTTCAAACATTTCTCGCTCGCACGTACGAACCATATTCCTGTCTCGAATAAAAGGATTCTGAATGTATATCAGGCTAAAAATTGTTTGAATATGTTTTATCATTTGCCTTAATTTTTGCATTAATTTATACAGACAAACTATTGAACTTAATTGCGTATTATGTTTTCTGTTTATGACAGTCCTTTTAATACAATAACATTTATTCGATGTTGTAGAAGAATTTCGAGCATGTGCCAACTGAGCTTGTTTCCATCACTACCGCAAGCGATAAGTAATATTATCCGTTACGCAATGGATCACAATTCACAAAATTTTCGCGCAGTGCGATTTCAGTTTCAAGCGATCCACGCGCCTGTACTAATCGTGAATCTCTATTTGTTTCAATGAATGCGACTCGTTTTAATTGAAAACTTCAAAACTATCTGTTGTCCAAGAAGAAAGAGAAACCGCTTATGTTCTAGGAATGTAGAAAGTCGATTTTGAAAATGTCGCGTCGTTTTTCATAGGATCACGGACACGGACAGTTGCGACGTACCGTGACATTGAATGAATCTCGCCGATAAATGTATTTAGAGAGGCCGCGTATGAATGTGTTGTCGAAGTGTCATGTGACAGTTGCTTTTGGACATCATACCGCGAATTACCTACGTTTGTGTTCCCTAATAGATGATTTGGTAATGTGAGTGGTTTACAACAATTTATCTATTTCGTTTGTATCACTGTGATTGAGTGTTATTTGAGCCAAGTTTTGTTTTCAAATCAAATCAAATCAATTTGGTTTTACCAACTGAATAAGACGTTTTAATGTGGATTTATTAATAATGGTAAGAATTTCATTTCATCACATGAAGTCATGTATTCTTTATGAAATTAAATTATTATTGTTATATATTTTATTTAATTACAATGTTTTATCTATCGCACAATTTTTAAGATGAGCTAGGTATACTTTATGAATTATCCTTCTTTACATATAAATAAAGTTTATCTCAATAACTAAGCTATTGATATAGAGAGATATGATAGATGTAATCACTCTATGCAAAATATTTCTCTCTAACAGAGATATCAACATTCTGAAAGTAAATCATTTTTATATGAATCTGAAAATAAATAATTATTTATTTAAATTCATAATCATCATTGTTTTTTAACAGTATTTTGGTATTTCCTGAAAAGTACAGTTACATTTCACGTTAAACGTTGGGTTTGCCAAAAGCCATGCGTCACATTTTGAATATCAATGAAAATGATACCACTTTCACATACTTGAAATTAGATGTGTTTCTTCGCGGATTAATTCATTCAAATGCGTTTTACCTCTCATTTTATGCAAATAGAGAAAGTTTACATGTTACCATAGTCTTAAATTTATTTTTGTGGAATAATCATTTCTGTTTTACACAACAGAGTTTTATAACATTAGAAATCTTTATCGTGTAATTTTATTGACTAAAATAATCAAATGGTGATAGAAGAATTGATGATATAATATAATCAGTGCACTAATCTCCGAAGTTTTATTCTGAAAGCATTTATGATCATACATTATTATTTGATCATTCATTAGCATATTATTTGTTAATAGTTAATTTTCTGCAACAAATAGTGTGATGATTATAGTAATACATTTCTCACGAGAACGTAAAAGAAATAGATGATGTTACATATCTTTTTTGAAAATCATCGTGTTTGCACTCACACAAATCAATAATTATGTTAACTTATTTATGTAATGTTCCAAAACGCTCATTTTCACCTATCGCTTTCTTAGGCGATATTGTAATAACGGTAGATTCATATAATCTGTCTATTACTTTTTCAACAAAAAAAAAATGACGGGAAAACAAAATTTTACTAACTTGAATTGTCCAGAGGGTTTTCGTGTTCTGATACGTTGCAAGTTTGTCCAGGAGATTTATTTTTTTGTTTTCGAGTTGTGGGCTAGGTGAACTGTACGGGGCGGCAACTAAAGCTTCGGAGGCATTTTCTTCCACTTGATCAGGTTCATAACTTGCCGTTATCATGTAGTTCAGCAGCAGGTTTCGAGATTTCTTAGTTATAACTTTGGTTTTAGATGCCAAAATACTGTCGTAATCATATAATTTGGCAATTCCATTTAAAGTTGGAGGATTACTTCCAGAAACCGTCGTCACCAAAATGTTAACGTTAGGAATCGCTGCCACCCAAACATATATGTTGGGTGCCGACAAATTCTTACCCACAAGAACCTACTGTTCCGTCCGGTATTTGCGAAAAACCTTGTAATGTAAATGTAAAATATTTAGGGATGCGCTTGGATAGCAAGTTAAATTGGATTACTCATATCAACAGCAAAACAAAACAAATGGAAAGAAAAATTAAATCATTGTTCTGGCTAATTAATGGTAAATCTACATTATGATTAGAAAACAAAATTCTACTTTTATAAACCGACAATAAAACCGAATCGACATATGGCGTTAAGTTGTGGGGCTGCGCCAAAAATGAAGAATTTCTTCTATCCAAAGGAAATAGTCATAAATTTTAAGGTGTATTGCAAATGTTCATTGGTATGTTATTAACCAAATTTTACATATCGATTTAAAAATGAAGGGAAAATTCATGAAAAACAGAAGCGGAATTCATTACGACAAGATCATCAACCATAATAACCCTACATTAATTTCCATATTAGAACCATCAGATATTAGAAGATTGAAAAAGGAGCATCCCTTAAGTACTATTACTGGAATTCTAACAACCAGTACAATAGATTATAGAATTTTTATTTTCCGATTGCTATTTAATTATTGTTAACAAAAAAAAGCATCACTGAACTTCAAATTTTTTTGTTATCAAGAGGGGGTTTGCACAATTGACAGACAACTTTCGGAAAATGTAAATGTATTTGAAAATGAAGGAAAAAATAATTGCTCTGGAATGTTCTATAATTGATTTGAATGAGTGGAAATATGATTTGTCGATTCATATTTCCAGAAAGGACATGCAACATAATTTAATGTTCTCATAATAATCTTTAATATGATATTATTATCACACCATTTGTTACGGAAAACAAACTATTGCGACATATAATATGTATATTATTTTAATAATCACATTATAATGTATTGTATGTCATCTAAACGCGTGGGATCATAACAATATATAAACACTTGTAAAAATTTATATATCAAAATAATTGTTATACAACTTAAAATTTTATGAATATAATTTTTATTTATATTTGTTTATAGTTATCTATCTTATAATTAGAGTTGCCTGAAATGTGTATTAATATTAAATGTCGGTGTCTTTATAATTGCAACTTAAAAAAAAGTAATTTCACACATTGTAATGTATATTGTTTTTTCGTAATATAGTTGAATAGAAAATGATAACGCTATATAGATATGGTAACAAAAATAAAAGTACTTTTCGTATAAAGTTATTGAATGAAAAGATAATAATACTGAATAGATCGCAAATGAAATGAAACAATAACTATTAACTTCATAATAGTACAGCGTAGTTATTCTAAAAATATCGATCCTTAATTATACTAATGCCGTATTATACAATGATTACAATATGAAATATTTCTATAACAATCCATTATATTATTATGTGCGTTCGAAAAGTAGCCATTATACCCAGATCTGAATATATCAAAATCTTAAGTGAGATTTTCAAGCGAGATAATATATTAAAATCAAAATATATTTGTTAACTATGATAGTTATATTAGATGTGCTTCCGCAGTTTTTTTTTTCGAAGTTCGAGGCCCTGTTAATTGTAAAAGTGGTAAAACAAAATTGTACTATTAATATATAGTGCCAACTATTATATATGAAAATTGAAAATTAAAAATTAAATGTCATCAAAATGCTCATCGTCGTGTTTCTCATATTCTTGTTATGCTAGACTACTCTAAATTTATTTTCAAAAGTAATTTTTGCTTGATGAAAGTATAGCGAAAGTATAACGAAAAACCTTATTCTCATTAAGTCTTATTTAATATTATTTGGTGTTGAATATATAAATTAAAAAAAGTGAATTTTAAATAACTGTTGCGACAAACGCCGCTTATATATCAGCCACGTATTTCTGACAACTGACAATTTTCAGGAGGCGTTCGGCCGTAATGATGGCCGAGCATGGCCGGTCGTGGCGGCGCTGATCGCTCGGCTGGCGGCTGCAACTGCTCCAACATCTCGGTCATGCAATTATTTCATGAGTTGAAGCAGCAGTTTCCGGCGCTGCCCGACAAATTGGTCAGCGATTGCGCAAACACACACTGTCACGACCGGACGCTGTGCACGCAACTACTTCGACGAGCCGCAGGTAAAGCGATTAATTCGTTAATCGATAAGCGTTATATTTGATCTTTTCTAATCATAGCCAATTAAATAGATAAAAGTTCATTAAATATTACACCAAAATGGAAAGTAAATAAGCAGTATGGTATTTGCAGGAGAGATGACACAAGCGGCATATCCGGCACAAGCGCTACGTAGAGCTCCGGATCCGCCGGCTAGTTCGCCACCGCAACGTCCAACAACACTTCATTTTGCACCTGCATCCCATTCGCGACCGTCCCGTCATGCGCCACCGCCGCCATTACCGCTTCCACCTATTGCACAAGTAAAAATTTTGTATATACTCTAAAATATTAAAAACCATTTTTATTTCGTTTTGTGCCAATCATTTCCATTATCTTCTGTATCTGCTAAAAATTCTCTATGCAATTTTTTTCTTGAATAAAATGTTTTAATAAGTATATGCACTTGCAGGAAACGATTGAAGAACAATATCCTGTAAATTTGTCCCTGGACTTAAATTGTTCAAGTGGTCATTCGCGAAATCCTTTGCGAACATCGGTTAATGTAACGGTTCGCACTCCTGTTGGTTCGCCTCTCCAACCTGCTGCAGCGGCACATCACCAGAGCGGTGCGACGGCTGCTAATTTGTTGCCACGGCACCAGCAGCCTGTTTCACATCATCAGCAAGTACAGGTGCTTTATAGCTTTTTCTAAACCTGCTTGAAAAGTCCGGTATATTCAAGCGCTGTATTATATTTAAAGCTTTTCATATTTTTGTAGGGTTTCCAAAGCCGATTGCATATAACGGTGAGTCCATCGTCAGCTTCTGGTCCGCAGACTAGCCTTTTGACTCAGCCTCGTCGCCCGCGGAGCTATTATGGACCTCTAATACCTGAACCGCCTATCACTCCAACGAGAGTCGCACGAGCGGAATCTTTACCGGACGTGCTAGCTGATTTAGCACCTGAGCAGGGTAAGGAACTACTGATCTATTTCACTTGTAAATAATATAAGCGACCTGATTCTTAGGTTTTAAAACTTTATACATACGCCAATTATACAATGTAAATTATATATACATATATTCGCCAATTAACGTTAATAATTAAAAAAATAGAAAAAATAGAACTATTAATCGAGCCCAAATAAACAATGAAAATGTCGAATGGGTTTCTCCGTGGCTTAGTGGTTAGATGTTTGTTCATGTTCCACCAGCCAGAAGTTGCTCGTTCGATACCAACCTCGAACAGCATGTTGTCAACCATTAATGACATCGGTTTCACTTAAATTTAATATATTCCTAAGCTTTTCTTTGGCATTGCTGTATCAAATTAAAAATCATCACTAATAGATAAATTCAAATAATATAAATGTAATATGTATATCAAATAGAGATACGACAACCGTTGGGTAGGCTTCTAAAAGCGCCAAGTAGCCTCTACGATTCTTAAGTTTTGAGTGCCGTTCAAAATAAATTTAAAAAATTGTCGTATGATATTATTTCATATTTACGTGAATACATTCCTTATCAGTGGGTTACCTTATCTACATTCTTGCATGCGAATCGTGAATAAAACTATCTCCTCTTAAAGGAATCTTGATCAAAATGTAAAAGCAAAAACTTCTTGCCAATGCTTTTTGCAGCCAGCAAATAGACTAAATAAACTATGTTGATTAACTTTGTTGTTGAGCATTCCAATCATTTTAAAATGTGATCACTAATAATCAACGCGTTCTTTATTACAATGCTTGCCAAATCGAACTAAAAAATTCATGCATTGTCAGGATTATCTCAAATATATTTTAGAGTATTGTTATTAATGCTAGTTTATGGTTTCTGTATATAAATATATAATATATACACAAATTTTGTACATAGGTGACTTTTTGGTTTTTGAACTATTTGCTTGAACTTATAAATATGCAAATAAAATTAATTTCGAATTCCATGTAGACGAATGTGTCCGCATTAAAAACAATATTGACTTAAAATGTTTTATTTTTTCCTTTATAATAATAGATTCTACTTCTGATGTGAATTGAGGAATCATTTTATATTTTTGCCAGCAAACTTAAATTTATTGGTAGTAACGATTTAATTAGTTTGGGTTGTAATTTTCGTTTTCTATCACTGTAAGCAATAATAAATCATTATCTTATACATGTACTCAATTTGTATTATTTGTTTACGCATATGTATCTCATTCGTTGGTTAGTAATTTAGTGAATGTTACCTCTCCTTCCCCGCTATCGTCTGTACGCGATTATTGACGCCCGTTAAAATTTGCATCGCGCAACAATGAGAATACGATTAAAATATAGGCGACGTATTTGCGTATTGTTTGTTCAAACGGACTGCGTTCGTGAGTTTGTACTGATAAGTGATAAGTTAAGGTGCAATCATGTTTGTATTGTCGCCTCTTAAACATTTGGGTGATTTCATTTTGTATATGTATCAGCTCGTGTTCAAATGTAATTACCAAATAAATCATTGTATTACTTGCATTCATGTACATTATAAATATTTAAATCATTATAAATCGTTATGATAAAGATTATCGTGAGTGATGTGAGATTGCATAAGAGTCGACGGCAAATGAATATAATAAAATTGAAAGCAAATCAGAAATTTGTTGTGGAATTATATTATAATTCGAAATTTATTTGTTCAAACTTGGTTATATATATTTTAAACCGCTGAAGCTCCGCCGGTTTTGCTCGTTTTGCTATTTTTTTTTCAAGAATAGAATTATTAAATTTATTGTTGTTAAATTTAATAAGCTATACTCTTTTTTTGAAGATATAAAATGCAATTAATTTGATTTTTTAATTTTCAATTCTTATTATTATTGATCTTCCTGTGACCGTGAAAATCCTGAAATGTTTTTCATCTTAGTGCGCGATTGAATTAATTTTATACAACCATAATGTTAAATTTATTGAGCTATATTATTTGGTTGTGGTAATTCCATGTCGAAGTTATGTCTCACAAATGTAAGTAAGTAAAACAATGCACTAATGAATTTTTAGGTTTTATTATTAATACAAATTATGATCGAATTGAAAAGTATAATTATTGAATTCGGTCGTATATTTTTCATGCATTATTTGCTCTTTACTATCAAAAATCTTGCTCTTCAATAACATAGTGCAATCATGCTTCATTATAAAATTAACTGGTAGAATTAATTAGGCAAGAAATTCTGTATAACGATGATAAATTGCTCTTTTTGTAGCAAACACTGTGAAACGGCAACTGGAGCGCAAGCATCGCTTAGAATGCGAACTAGAAGCAGAACGCAGCAGGCTGCGTGCAATGCAGCGAGAAGTATGTGCGTTAGAAGGTCCTGCTGTGTCGCAAGGACCAGGTCGAGCACTAATACTTAAGCAAGAAATACAGACCTTGCAAAGTCAATGTGTTGTGCTGGCACAACGCGTTGACCAATACACAGGCGATCGCAGTAAGTTTATAAGTAGGCATGTAATCATATAATATGTTAATTGATTATAAATTACTATTTTTTGGTGATTCGAACTTTTAAGTCTATGAGCGCAAATTTATTTGGCAATTTTTATGCGTTATACTCTTAAATATATTCACATATTTTTGTTAATTTTGTTTTGCTATATATAAATGGTACAGAAATCATATTACGTGATTAAAAGATTTTATCTCATCAGTTCCTTTATGCGAGACATCCGAAGAGTTTTACCAAAACATCTACACCGGACAGCAATTACACATGCCATCCGTGCGACGCAGGCGTCGCGAACCGCCTCCTCGGCCTCCTCCGCCGCGTCCATTGGGAATTAGTGAGGCGACACCCTGGACGTGTCATTTGTGTACGTTCAGAAATCATCCTCTTTTAAACAAGTGCGAGCAATGCGAGATGCCATGCATCTTACGAGGTACTATGGCAGTGAAACCTTTATCGTCAGATCTGTCGCATTTGACACCAGAAAATAATGATAAATTAACAGTTGCTGCTGATAGTGTTTCTCGCATTAATAACGCTTTGGCGAGCCTGAACTGTGTCTCCGATCAGTAAAAACAAAGTTGCTGAAGAGCTTATTTTGTTTGATATGTTTGTTGCTATTGTGGATTGTTGCATGAAACTGAACTGAATGCATTTTTTTAAAGATATAACAAGTACATTATTAGTTATTATTTGTTGACCAGTGTTACTACATTTTTGTTATTAATGGAATTTGTATTATAAGACTACTTGGCTAAGTCACTTATTTGACATCACAACTTGATTTATATTTATTCTTATATGAGTTGACTTGATTACATATATGTATAACTATTGTGATAAGGTCCCATTTTAATATTGTTGATCTCTTATACCACAAATCACAATTTGAAAGTATATATTAATTCTATATTTATTACCTTTTGAGAATAAGACTTAATATAAATATCCAACTGACATATGTATTACCAAATATTATATATATATATATATATATATATATATATATATATATATATATATGTATGTTTGTGTAAATGGTATCATATGTTTATCAATGGTATATTTAAGTGGGTATATACATTACAGTAGTTATGTACAAGCCTACAACATATAGGATACTATTAGCTTGTGTCCCCTTTTTGGAGACTGATTTATATAATATAAAAAAATATGTGCAAGTATGTTTTATTAAAATAGAATATTCAAGTAACATTTTTTTATTTATATAACAAAGTTTTGTTTTTTTTTTGTTTTTTTTTTATACTTATCTATTATAATTGTGAATAAAAAATAGTGAACTAATTTTTTAGTCTTGTGCTGTTGAAAATTAAATTTATGCATGCTTCCAAATTTAAATAATGTTAGTTATTTTGTGATTTATAGTAGTATATATATATATATATATATATATATATATATATATATATATATGACCTGACCAAAAAAATAATTTAATGTCTTTTTGCTTTATTTGTAACAACAGTTTTTCTTGAGACACATACATTGCTCACATTTAGTTATACCTGATTTAAATGTAGATTTCTGCGTCATTACTCCCAAATCTATTCCTCTATAATAATAATACTATAATTCTTCTCTATAATATAATTCCTGTTGTATCCCAAAAACCTCGGCAAATAACTTTGATGCCGATAAAATTTTGCTTTCTTTTGAGTTGGTTCTTCTTTTCTAATCCTCTGTTTCTCATTTGTTTCCAAGTTTTATCAACACTAATATATTGACGCTTATATAAAGCCAAATTGTCGGTAAAAATGGTTTTTCGAAGAAATTTTTGGTCGAGATCTACACAGCTTTTAAATGCCCAGATGATTGTGTAAAATATTTTGCACGCGTTTAATTAACATTATACAGGTTTCAGCTATATCATGTATTTTCAACCTTGGGTTTTTCAACACTTCATGCACTTTTTTTTATTACTTCTGTAGTTCTAAACACAGAGGGGCCGTCCTGAGTGTGGCTCATCAGAGATACTCATACGACCTATTATAAATTTAGAAACCCATTTTTGTAATGGTTGAATATGATGAAGAGATAGGTTCATCTGTTCTTTTATTTGGATAAAAGTATGATTCTTCAAATTTTCTATATACAATGCAATGTCCTAAGCAAGAAATTGTATTATGCGGTGTAAGGACATAACGTCACAAAATGAAGGAAGTGTGAAATGGCATATGATTGTATTAACGGGGTTCTACAGTATATTATATATGCAGTCAATAATAAATAATCCAATGATATTCCAATTTTCAAACCACTTTTACTATAGTTTTGTAATGGATTATAACAACATTTATTTCGACTGACATCAGTGCCCATTCTTGCCACTAATAAATGAAATTAATGCAGTGATGTGTATCATGTTTGATTGACATCTAAGTCATCTAAATATGTTATCTATAAAAATTTAAATATCAGGTTTCCCAAAACTTAAAATAGTACTTGAAACTAAGGTTCTGGCTTGATAACCAGGCATGATTACCATCGTCAATCGAAAGAAAAATGTTTTTTGACACAATAATATTGTGTTGTTTGTTCTTTGATTATTTTATTTAAGTTTAATCATGTTATGTGATACCTGATATCTTTCTATATTTAAAAAAAATTTATGAAATTATTCCATCATTTTCTGCATATTTTTTTAGTAAAATATATGAAACTTACTATGTAGCAGTTTCAAGAAAATTTGACACTAAAATAGTAATTGAAATAATTGTTTTTTCTAATTTTAGTTACCGCTGGTGAAGATATACATATACATGTGACACCTGGACATGATTGTAAGTTTTGTTGAATTTATATACTTTAAATTATGAATATATGGATTATCTAAAATTTATTTTTTCTTAACAGTTATTCGTTCTTGGGTTGTGTAATTCTCCACATATCAGTGCTAATGTCACAGCAATATTTTAGTAGATTGAAATTTATATCTACTGCAGACTGTGTTTAGGAACTATATAATTTACAAAAACATTTAAATATATAAATGAGAAAGTCAACAGGCGGAAATGTTTTCAGTGTAAATGTGACGACAAATAAAATTAAATAATTTGTAACAAGTGTTTGTAATATTGAAAATCTACAAATGATTCATATCTGCTAATCTTAATGTGAGTGAAATACTTATAGTTCCATGAGTGCTAGATCAATAAAAAAAAAGTATATCGATATATTGACTATTTTTAATAATTTTAATAAATAAAAATTTTGGTATCATGTAATAATTTAATGAAAACAGTAAATAAAAATTTTGGTATCATATATTCACATGTAAATTTATAATGTACATATTGTGTTTTTATAACATATTATATATATATATATATATATATATATATATATATATATAATTTCACTTTATACAGCAGTACCTCTTTCTAAATTTTGCTTTGTTTCGACAGTGTATTCACCATAAAATCTATTTAATTTTTCATTGAATTTGGCATTTCTTTCATTGATATAGTCAATATCAGCGTCATCATTGTGTGTTCTTCTTCTAGAATACTTCTCTCTCTTACTAATTTGTTTCTCTAAATCTTGAACCATATTGTCAATAGCATCTTTTCTGTCCTTGTGAAGCCCTTGTAAAATAGTATTCGGGCCCCCATAAAAAGCATCACCTAACTTTTCTTTTTGTTCGTTGTAGCGCTCCATATCACGGGGACCCATATTTCTAATAAGCCTATTATATTGTCGTGCTGTTGCCTGTTCATAATCTGCAAAACCTTCATCTGGATTTTTCTTTTTCTTCTTGCGTTCAAGAATTTCAGCATCAGTAGCCGAAATACTTAGTAATTTCACTCTGTCGTAATCCTCCCCATTGGAAGCAGCTTGCTTTCTAGCTTCTTCATCTGCTAACATCCATTCTGCTTGACGTTTTCTGGCTTCCCAATTTTTCGGCAATTTATTGCGGGCGTCTTCTTCAACGACTTCCTTATAATTCAATGTCCTCGCTTCATTTCGAGCTGAATGTAAAGATTTTAGGCGTTTCATACGCTCAGCTTGTCTTTCTGCAAAAGTTTTGGCAGCAATAGCCTTCGGTTGATCTTTATCCATTGTGTCAATTTCAAACTTAGTACCGCGTGGTTCACAAAATCAATATGTTTATTACTAGACTGGAAAGAGTAATTAGAATTATTTTGTCTTTTATTAAACAAAAAAATTATCAATAAACAAAACACGAGCAGAAATGTCGCGATGACATTTTGGGTTGTGTTTTAACAAGCAACCAACATTATAAAATTACTATAGATTCAAGATAGGATAAAGGTTGTTTTTGAATATTTTATTTAGGATTTTGGTCATTTACTTTCAAATAAGTTGTTCTAGTTTCGATTATGAAATAAATTCTAATAACTGTTTGTTTTCATATAATTGAAGCCATTCGAAAAATTGTTATGAAAATTTACTACTTCTCATCTGAATGAAAAGAATATGAATTATTTTTGATAAATTATACAATAATATATATATATATATATATATATAAATTTTTATATGTTGATATAATGGTATTGTTTGATTATTTTAATCAAAATATTATGATAAGCATTCAGTCCGTATTAATTTTTTTGCTTCCTATTGTTGGTTACCCGAGTACTTTCTCAGAACACTTCACATTGTACTGTCAGTTTAATGTCAAACAGTAAAAATTTGTTTACATATAACATGTTCACTTGTTTCAAACCGTATTAAGTTACATTTTGTAAATGTGTATATTATTTACTTGTGTATTGCAATAAAATGAGTGTTGCCGGATCTGTTGGAAGTGATATTGAAATATCAAATTCTGAACAGATGAGTAACTTGCCTAAAAAACAACACGCAAAAGTTAACAATGTAGAATCTCCAAGTGTCGAAATAAATTCTTCAATAGTAGAATTCCTAGATCTGGAAAGAAAGTGCCTGAATTCGGCCGGGGGTGACAATAGTGAAGTTGATCTTAAAACTTTGATAGAGGAAATTAACAGACTCTCCGGAGACTCGTCCCATTCAGGTGCTGTTTTCGACGACGCCGGCGATCGAAGCATTGAAGATATTATAAATGAAGCTCAACGATTAATGGATGAAAATTGTGAAACTCAAGAGGAATTGCAGGAGCAAACGTTTTCACCAAGAAGCCTTTCGAATTCAATGTCTGCCAGGAAAACATCTGTGCAAATTAATAATAATCAATCGGTCGAGCAAAAGTGTGATCAAAATTGCAGCAAAGCAAACTTTAATGAGGATGACTGTGCAAACGAAGATGCGATGGTAAGTTTCTGCCTCTACTTACTAGTGCATGTTAGAAATATTAGATTTAAGACTGTCTGCATAAAGTGTCCTTATTTCGATCGCACTCGATCAATATAATAAATTTTGGCTGTTGGCGGTTGAATAATGTGGTTCCTATCCGCAATCAATAAAATTAATCAATACCGAACCCCCATTTCTGAAGCTTATTATTCTATGAGCGAAACGAATCCTGTTAGGGATAGCATTAAAGGTGATAGAGACTGTCTATTATTTAATGAATTTTTTTAGTATATAAACTGGAACCTTATGTATCAATTTTATATGTATATCAATTATTTTTTTAATTACAATTGTTTCAGTGAAATACTTTTACAATATGACCATAACTGCAATGGCAGTAAAGTATCTTTAATTTGCTAGCTGATGCATTATTTAGATACAAGTAACAATTTGTAAATATGTAGTTACATTTAATTATTTTTGACGAATGTGGTTTGTTTTATGGGACTATATCGTAAAACTGTTGCAAATTGCGTATAAATCATTTAAATGCTAGGGTATTACTATAAAACATATAATCACTGTTTTAATTTAATTTATTTCTTAATATTATGAAAATTACATAGTTTTTACCTCTATATATGTACGTTATTTCATAAATTGCATTCATAAATACATTTGAATATTTTATGTTTATGCATAATAAATATTTAAAAATATAAAGTGCTTAAATATAAATGTGTTAATTTAATGACGCTGAACAATGAAAATGGATTTAAAATGAAATCAAAACTAAAGTTAATTATTATATATGAAGTACAATATTATAATAATAAAAATAATAAAATAACAATATCAAGTATTAAAGAATATTGCAGTATGAAAAATAATTTTGAACTATGTATACACCTAATTACGCTTTTATCATTTTTGGCATGTATTTTGTGAGGGAATAATTAAGTATTATAAATAGTTCATTTATAATAGATAAATGTACACACACACATATATACATACATATATATATATATATATATATATATTTGCAATGATTGTATGAATTAAAAATTATAAGCTAAAGTCTACACAGAATTTTTGCATATAGATGCAAAATAATATAATAATATTAATAATAGTCCACTGTTTTGCCGAAATTAATTTTACGCTGACATTGCTGTAGCACTTACAAAGTGATACAATTTTCTAAAACGTCTTGCGTTTATGGCTGAAATTATGTACGAACAGTAAAAATTTAATGCTATATATAATATTGTTACCATTTGGGCACAAATAAGGCTAATATAATTGTATACTCTTATCTAATCAGTATACTAGTATGTGCTATAATGCCAAATAAAATACAAGTCATCTTTACCTATGGAACGATGCATAGGCCTCAAAACTATCGAAAGTAACTGATGTGTTTATTTCGGATTTGGCTTAAAGTTGCGTGAAACTTGTATTTATCTCGTATACGTCATGTACGAACGAATTTTACATAATCTTCAATTGAATTTTCCATCGGCTAGTGATAGCATCGGTTTTCGCCACATCTGTTTCACGGTTCGTTTGAATGCAGTGCCATAGCTAAGGTGGTAACAGCTGCCATAGCCTCGCTGCCTGTGGTCTCGATCATGGAGGCAGGCAAAATGAATCCGTGGTGCCCGGAATCCCGGAGTTCTATGGTGTAGGAATATTTAATATTCATGACACCCTTGGCCCAGTCATCTGATCCGCCACTGGCTGGATATAAGGTAGTTCCGGAAGGACCTACTTTGTATGAACCACCGCCTGCACTTCGCATAGCCTATATTTAGTTATAATTAAATTTTACTTTATGAAAATATTTTCGCGTTTTTCATAATAATAATGTTTTTAAATATAATTTTAGTTATTGAAATTTTGAATTAGAAATTGCTCATGCGTTAAATTAAAGTAACCATATTTTTTAATTTAGGGGGTATTCTAGTGTAGAAATTCAAAAAAATCGATTTTTTTTGTTTCATATTTTCAAAGTTTAACTATCTAAGAATATGGGTAAGAGAAGGTTTTTGAAAATTTGAATTATTTTCGTAGATATAGGCATTTTACTGAACTGGTTTGGCAGGGTCTAATCGGACAAAAGGCATTAGGAAGTCATTAGACCAATTTAAGACAGTTTATCGTCAGATGAATTATCAATTCGATGTATAGGTTCAGAAACTTTGGATTTTTGTGCCAAAACATTCATTCCCGATCTCGGGTATTTGAAAAGCAACATTTATTTCTGTTCGCATATTCAATGAAGGTTTCTTTCCGATTTTATAAATGATGACCCTTATGGTAATGCAAATTGGGCCAGAAACACATTCATTTGCTGTAAGACGAGACAACGCCCGGATTGAACGATCTGAAATACGTACATTCAACGCTCCAACGAGGCTAGAACTGCTCGATTTAAAGAGAGAAATGCAGAAAATAGTTTTTTTTGAAGAAGAAGAAGGTCCGATGCATGAAGCAGGAATGGTAGATTAAATAAAGGAAGTATAACATCATTTTATGACTTTGACAGCAAAAAACTTCACGCAAAACTTTAAACGGGTTTTTCACAGAACAGACTTTTTCAGTACTGTTGACACGATTTCTCGAGATCTACTTGACCGATTCACTTGAAATGTTCAGAGAGTCTTGTTTATAGACCTATCTATAGCCCGAATTAGGATTATCCCCAAATTCCAATTTTTACTATTTTTAAAAAATTCGAGAAACTCAAAAAACAGTAAGAAAAGACACTTTTTTTTCAAACAGTCGCTAATTTGTAAAAAAAAATTTTTTACTCATCGCTAGTTTGGGCGATTGCGACATCATTGTAGATTAATAATCTTTTTGTTTCTTTTATTTCGGATGGCTAGGAGGGCTGAAATCATGTCAAGACTGAGGTGCCAATTTTTTGAGACCCCCCACTTCATCAGCTGCCGGTTTCTTCAATTTTCAACTTTTTTTTTAAATTTTTGTATTGTATTTTAATAATATTAATAAACTAAATAAATAATAAATAATAAATTAATAAAAATAGAATACCCCCTTAAATCCGCGACGTTGGGATAGGTGATGGGGAGGGGGGGAGCTCTTGATGGCAAATACTATTTAAGTATACAATAAAAATTAGTTTTTTTTTATCTATAAGTTTTTTCACTTTTGTTTCTTGTATAACACTCTGTTCAATTCTCTTCATCAAGTTAAAAAATAAGCGCTTGTGCCAGTTAGCCATAATAACTGATAATTTTCGTGAAATTGAATATGAAAGATCTAAATTATTAACGTAAGAGGCTATTTAACCTCTCTTTGCATCTTTGAAATTTTGTATTCTGCAATTTTCTCATTTGTAACATAGTGTATATATCATTTTCATATATTTGATGAATAGTTGATAATTTTATTAAACTTGAGCCTATACTTTTCGGAAACCCGGTACAATCCGGGACAAAAGATCTAAATCTGAAATAGCATAGAATGACTTCTTTGACAAATTCTAAAGGCATTTAAGAACGATTCATATTGAGATGTATTTAGTTTGCAATTAATTGAATCTGTCCTTCAATTAGTGGATAATAATTTATATTTTTGGTATAAGGAATAGATTTTTCTCATTGTTTTATTAAATTTACCTTCGATATAGCTTGACCAACATTTTCTAAATCTTTATAATCTGGCGGGACAACTCGATCATATCCCCATGGGTAAAGCACGTATTGCCCGTAGCTGTGAAACGAGACATAGGCCTTAAAATTAGCGGCACTGCGCTCCATGAAGTTTTGTATGGCTCGAGTTTCGGGCTCGGAGAATGCATTTGCGCCAGCATAAGTTTCCGAACAAGGCTGCCTTGAAGCTCCTTGGCCGCCCCAACGATATCTGTTGAATTGAATTACAAATGATGTCTAATTTGATCATTTTTAATAATGAAGTGCCTAATAAAACAAACTCTAATAACGAATATCCAAATAGAATTAATATTACTTCTAAAGCATTTTAAAACAACTCTTTACATTCATTTAGTACATTAAGTTTCCAAATAATTTTGTTTATAACATAATTGTTATGCTACTTATGCATTCAATTAAAATTACCCCGACATGAAAGCATTTTAAGTGTGCAATGCACGTGATGATTTATCACGTGCATTTCATATATATATATAGGAAAGTAAGTGCTACATAATAACTCACTTGTGTCAGGTTGTACCAAGTACCATTCATACTATATGTATTAAAGTATTTTATTTTCAAAGTTTATTTTGTTAAAATAAAAAATAGTGAACACACATTATTTTATGCAGTAAATTACATTTTCAAAACGAGAGAAAATTGTAAATCAATATTTTGTTAAGATATTCGATTAATTTATTTAAAAGCTTTTTCCCTGTGAATTGTTTCACATTATAAGAATTTCACCTGTTAACGATTCAATAAAGGTTTTTATTAAAAGTTGGAAAGTCCTCAGAAAGAGCTCCGATTGCGACGAGTGTTTTTTTAAGTTTTTGTTTTTTGTTTGTTGTTGATATTAAATCAGAAACATTTCAGAGGTGGAAAATAATTATTTTTATTGCTTAAACGAGATGAATGTTATTTATATAAGAAAAAAAGTTTTTCAGTAGTTTTCTCCAAAAAAAAAAATTATGTATTCATTTCCGTGTTAAGAACAGTTATAAGTGTGGTTTTTAGTCACTAAAGATAAATCATTGAACTCAAAGCTGTTTCTGAGGATATTCTAAACTGCCTTTTTTTCACCTTTATTGATTCGTCGATTATTATTGTTATCAAAACCTTGATATTTAAATTCACATTTTGTTTCACGTCTCCATGGAACGATTTTATTAACTGTTAATATTATTTGAGTGGAAAACGCTCGATATTTATAATGCATAACATACCCGAAATTTCTATTAAGATCAATGCCTGCACAACGGCCTTTACCACTTCTGTTTTTTCTCCAAAGACGATCGGTTGTGTGAGAATACTCGTAACCGTCCGGATTCGCCA